TTCAATGTTCTACTGATATTGATTTTAATCTGTTGGTTTTGTAGTGATTATTTTATTTTATTGTCTCCTTTGTCTTGTCTCTATATTTTGTTTTGTGGTCTTTTGTAAACCGCCAAGAGTGTCCTGGGTTGCCAGATGGGCAGTATAGAAATTAAACAAATAAACAAATACCAGGGTTGTTTTGTTTTATTTCCTTTCCTGCTAAGGAAACAGGTTTTTTTTTATTTCAGGGAAAGAGGGACCCTGGCCTGAAAGTGAGAACACAGTTCTTAAAACCTGGAGCATCATCCACAGGTTGTCATATGCCGTTGTGTGGTGTGTTTTTTTGGGGGGGGGATGTTGTTGAAAAAAGATGTTTGACATTTGAAGCCAGGTTAAAGATTTTCCTACATTCCCCTCTAGTGTGATTCGTTTTCTTTTAATAATAAAAGCTTCTGCTATAATGTCAACAGCTGGCTGGATAGCTCAGTGGTTTAGGTCTCAGATGTTGGGAGTTTGATTCTCCCATGGGGCCTCTTGGGTGGCCTTGGTCAACTGAGGTCTCAGATGTTGGGAGTTTGATTCTCCTCTTGGGTGGCCTTGGTCAACCAGCCCAGTCCCAGGATGTCCCCAAGAGAAGGGAAGGATAAATCACTTCTGAGTATTCTCTATCTGGAAAACCCTGGAAAGGATCGCTATGCGTCATAATTTACTTTATGGCACACGATGATGATGATTTCAGCATTTAACAGAGATTTTCTGCTGTGTGAACTCTTAACATCCAGTAAGTGATGTACTGCTGCAACGGGAGCTTTCTTACACCTTGACTCAGTTTTGCGCCTGTAGGTTCTCTCGTGTCTGATAAAATTTCAGCTTTAGCAGAAGCAGAACATTTCTATGATTTCTCTCCTGTATGAATCCTCCAAGGTGTACTGAGGACCCCCGTTTGTCATAAAAGCTTTTGCTACATCCCAAGTATTTGATAGGCTCAAGTTCTGGGCGGTACGGGAGCTTTCTTACACCTTGACTCAGTTTTGCGCCTGTAGGTTCTCTCGTGTCTGATAAAATTTCAGCTTTAGCAGAAGCAGAACATTTCTATGATTTCTCTCCTGTATGAATCCTCCAAGGTGTACTGAGGACCCCCGTTTGTCATAAAAGCTTTTGCTACATTCCAAGTATTTGATAGGCTCAAGTCCTGGGCGGTAAACAGAATTAAATTTAACAGAGATAAGGGTAAAGTTCTACACCCATGGGGTGGCATGGGGCCATCAATGCCCAGTTACAAGATGGAAAATACTTGTTTCAGTAATACTGGGAAACAGAAGGAATTGTAGTAGACCACAAGCTGAATATGAGCCAACAGTGTGATGTGGCTGCAAAAAAGGCAAATGCTGTTTTAGGATGCATTAACAGAAGGTGACATTAGCAAATCCAGAATCTTATTTTGTCTACTTGCTGCATTTTTACATATGCAGATGAATTGCACTTGAAACCAGCTCTGCTTAGGAAGTATTCGATAATTGTGGTGCTTTCATTTTTCCCCATAATCCAGCAGTCTGACATTCTTTTTACTGTATGTAGTAATTGATTTTACATCATTTCTCATTTTGGGGATCCATTCCATGATCTACCACAAATGCCTGAAACTATGGATAGTATTGAACCCTAGAGATAACATACAAGGAGGTGGAATGAAGGCCACGAGGAGGAGAAACAACGACCACAAGACCCACCCCCTTGTATATAGGGTTTCAGTTGACTGTAGATAACTGAAACTATGAATACCAGTTGTGTGTATATGGTCAGCCTACTGCATTTAATAATTTCTTTCAAAGCTTTTGAAAAGTAATTTAAAATGTTACTCTATCTTTTCTCAAAAGGAGTACCAGTTATCAAGCTGAAGTATTTAAAAAATTGTAATATCTTGTCCGCAGAGAGAGAGGTTTCTCATTCTCCCTCTTTCATGATATGATCAAGCACTACATTGTAGTTGGCACTACATTGAGGATTATTGTTACAGGAGAATGTCAGAAATGTCCCTCTTTCATGATATGATCAAGCACTACATTATAGCTGGCACTACACTGAGGATTATTTACGTATTTAGAGTATTTTTACCCCACCTTTCTCCTGAGAAAGGACTCGAGGCAGTTTACATCATTACAAGGCAACCGTTGAAACTAAAAAAACAGTAAGTATACAAATACTAAAAAGGATCCACACGAATGCCACATTGGGGGAATAAAGCAGTAAACAAAAGCAACACAAGTACTGTATACAAATACTAAAAAGGATCCACACAAATGCCACATTGGGGGAAAAAGCAGTAAACAAAAGCAACAGTAAAATATATTCAATGCCATAAAGTCCATTAAAAAAAAAAACCCACTCAGGCAGCCGGTCACTGAAAACGTCACAGACAAAAGAAAAGCAGTGCATAACCCATCTATGGAGTTTGGGATTCATGATATCTAAAGCACAAGAAGGTTTAATTTATCAACCTATCCGTCACGTCCACCTACTGGCAACCATGACAGTATGGCCAACAGCTTTCAGAATTTCCCCGGGCATAATGATTATATGGACTTAGGGATTGTGAGAGTTGTTAGTCTCCAAATAGTAACCGACCAGTCCCACCCTGAATTTCCCCGGGCATAATGATTATATGGACTCAGGGATGGTGAGAGTTAGTCTCCAAATAGTAACTGACCAGTCCCACCCCGTTCCCCATTTTGTCATGGCTGAGCTTCCATTGATGGATTCTTTCTTACCCATTCTATGGATAAGATCCCAGCCACTGAATCCTATACTCTTGACTTCCTCACCTCATTCAGAAAGAAAAGAGAAAACAGAAATGGAGGTCATTGGCATAGTAATGGCACACCTGGATCTTGGGATTCAAATCACTGCCTAACCATAACTTCCATGGATGTGCCCCTAAGCGAAGGAGCTCCCAGTCATCTCTAAACAGGGGATCATGGGGCTTATCCTGTCAATCAGTGAATGCTGCACTATTCATACTGATTCAAAGACAATAACAAATATCCTGTCCACTCAGTGAATTAGAGGGGGAGGGTAGTTTCACAGCAACAGGATAGATACAGGGATGTTCTTCATCCTCAATAAAATAAAAATAAAAATACTCCAGGATTTGGGAAAGGGAAAGGGCTTTTACTCAATTACTTTTGAACCAAAACGATATGCAACAGTTAAGATCACAGCATCTCATTAATAAAAGAGGCAATTCAGAAATACCGTATGTTTTTCCCGAATTCTACCCACTCCACCAAGGAGAAGGAAGAAATGTATGATCCTTCCTGCATAGTCTCTGGGGTCGCAACACCTGGATTATTGCATTCAGGAAAACCCTACAAATGCACACTACACCCGGCTGGCTGGTTAGCTCAGTGGTTTATGTATCTGGCTGTGGAGCCAGAAACTGGGACTTCAATTCCCCACTGTGTCTCTGGGGAGAAAAGTCAGCCTGGGTGACCTTGGGCAAGCTGCACAGTCCCAGGGCATTCCCAGAAGAAAGGAATAGTAAACCGCTTCTATCTATTCTCTGCCTTAGAAAAAGCCCTGGAAAGGATCACTAGCGTGCACAGCACATCACAAAGGCAAACAATAAGATTGTGAAAGGAGAGGACAGGGAACAAAAGCCACAAAAAGATGAGGTTCACCCACGCCAGTGCACTTGGATTATAAAGGAATACGTAGTCAAGGAATCAGATTTTCCTTCCTTCCTTCCGAATTGCTGTGGCTTAATCCTGCAGGGTGCCAAGAACTGAAAATTCTCCTAACATCTTCAGTAGTTGCAACTGGCTAACCTCACAATCAGAATCTCTCTCTTTTTAAGTCTCTCTCTCCCCCCCCCACAACGCCCACTCCCCATCCTATCTTATTGTCAATTATTTCACTGACACGCCAATTCTATACCCCCTTACCTGGGAATAAACCCCAAGGGGATTTACTTTAGAACAGACCCATAAGTCTTTGCCCTGTGAAATTTATTCACTCTTCCATTCAGAAGCAAATCAAAAGTAGTACGTTGGATCAGTGCCAGTGAATGAAAAAAAAATGAAGACATCTCATACAAGAACAAGCTGCGGCTGATAAATAATTTAAGCACTTGGATTTCAAATGCTTATTACATTTTTTAAAAAAATAAAAAACAATCCTTTAATCAGTGAGAGCCCTTTGCCCCTTGGTTTGGAGCACCGAAGACTTTTAATACTGACTATTGGTTCCCTTGCACTACTCTCTCTCTTTCTCTGACACACACTTGCACCTGGATTTTTGTTTGTGCGTGTGTGCGCAGACACAGAGAAACACAAGAGAAAGAGAGAAACTGCAGATTTTCAGAATTGGTCTCCCCTATGGTAGAGTATGTAGTGGGCACATTCAAGAAATCTCAAAGTGGGTGTTCACAACGGCAGCTACTGCCGATAATTGCCTACCTTTGGACCCTTCTTTTGTTCAAACAGCCAAGGTGCTTATATGACGGGTTCCCTCCCATCTTGGGATCATGCCCATTTATGAATGACCCTTTCAACTGACATTAAGAGACGCAGATGACACAAAAGGCAAGTGCAGTCATTGATAACCAGATCTGTCAATCCATTGCAAACGTTTCCCCAAAATACAATGACATTTGAACAAAATCAGATGTTTTAAACCACTGAATCTAGCAGCAATTTTGTGCTGAGTATCTTCAGTTATAAGAGGAAAACTGGAAATGGGAAACGAGATCAAAATAAAATTTGGAAGGGGGGGAAAAAGGCTCTGCATTATAAACTAATCCCCAGGGAGGAGAGAGACGGCAGTCCGGAGGACTAAATCCAGTTAGTCCTAGCTAAAGGAGATTCATTGAATTAATGGCAATTGCATAAGTGTTGACTTACTAAGTTCTCATTGATTGAATGGGTCTACTCTAGTTGGGAATGGAATTTAACTTAAAGATTTTTTTTTTAAAAAAGACACAAGGGAAATTGCCTGCTATGGAGGAGAAGGGAACAACTTACCCCAGATGAGAGTAAACAGATGGGCCTTGGGAATGAGGAAGAGGGCATAGACAGCCCCGATGTGAAGCAGGGCCATCAAGATGACATTCCTCCAAACAATCTCTTGATTCCTTCCAACTTTCTCCTCTCCTCCTCCTGCTGTTGATCCTAAAGTGTTCTCTTCTTTTCCATGGCAAGTCATGGTTGCCTCTCCATTCACTACCCCGTTGGCTTCTTGCTTCGCCATGGCTGAAGAGGATGCTCAGCCCACGGTGGACGATCCAAGACTGGATGCCTTGTTGGGAGAGGCGATGACTTGCCGCTGGGTTTGAGGGGTGTTTCTTTCAATCTCTCCCCCCCCCTCCTCCCTGCGCTCCCTCCCCTTCTTCTCCTGTCCCTTCTTCTGATCTTCCCCCCCTTCTTGGGTCCTGCCTTCCTAACTCGATCTAGGGACGCAAGCCTAGCTGTGCAGCATCTGTTGCTGGCCTCTCATCCATGCTGGTGCTGGTGCTGTGTCAGAGAGCTGAACTCCGCATAGCAACAGAGAATGAAAAAAAGAAGAGGGGGCAGAGAGAGAGAGAGAGAGAGAGAGAGAGACCGGGAGAAAAGACCTGCATAGCTACAGCCAATCAGAATCATATGCGGTGCTCTTAAAGGGGGAGGAAGAGAGGGAGGAAGGGAGAGAAAGGAAGAAAGAGAGAGAAGATGCATTTCCGTGCACTAATGCCACATATTGGCCGGTTGGAATTCATATATTTTCTCCATCTAACAAAGAAACACTGGATATACGCATGTTCAAAGGCAGCTGATACCCAGGTTTGAGACAAGGCTTCTAGGTAACTGTGGATCCCTTTATGAATGGCCGGTACGTCACATCTTCGTGCTACATATATTAGCTTGGCAGAGTCATCTTCCTTTTACCACCCTACACTTGCAAGGATCCGTGCTATTGTTAAGATGAGAGGACTGAGAACAGACAAGGCCGGCCCTACCATAAGGCAGAGTGAAGCTGTGTCTTCGTACAACAATGCTGGGGAGTCATAGCAAACCGTTAGAGGAGACAGAGGTGTCTTGCGAGGTTTGTCTTCCAATAGACTCCTGCCTTCAGGTGTGGTGGGTGAAACCGTCCCGCCATCCTTGTTAGAGAGTGTCCTGCCATTTCTGGTGCCATCGGTACACGCGACGGGAGAAACGTTATCTTGTCCTTTAGCTCAGGCAGCAAAATATCTTGGGCTTGTCCTAGATTTAAGTTTTGGCACACTTTTTTTTAAAAAAAAAGATGTAACAGATTCTAATTTAATACAGAAAATATTGAATTATATATATGATGAGAATGCGTAACATGCAAGTGTAAATACACAAAGCTGTTGGACAAAGGAGCAGGCAGCTGTGTGGGATATGGAGGATAATGGTGGACGTGTATGGCCAGGTGTGAATTGAGGGTAAATCTAAGGATACTGAAATGCCAATCATCCACAGTGAACAGCACCTTGATAGCAGACTCTGTAGGCATGGTCACACTCTCCAATCCAGGGCTTTGGAATTCTGCTTGAATTATCAAAATAATTTCTGATTTCTCATTTGTCCATATAGATCAACATAGACAAATTATGTAAGTCAGCATCCTGCGTCCTCATTTCTGACTTATGGTGACCCTTGACATTGTTTTCTAGGTATAAAGTACTCAGATGTTGCCTGCTATTCCCTTCTTCTGGGGTTGCTTTAAAATGATGCAGCTTTACCAGGGCTACACAGGCTGGCCCTTCTTCCAATATGCATAGGGGGGAAATCAAACTCCCATCCTCTGGCCCCACAGCCAGATATGCAACTCACTGAGGCTGTGACAGATAGTGAAGTTCTAAGTAGACCAGAAAGTACCTCCTAAACGTCTTACCCTCCCAAATGCTAGGCTGTTTCAAGCTCAGTGTGGTTTATCAAGATAGTGGTTTTGCTATCAGTGGCCATATTTATATATCCAAGCTGCTCCCTCATTATGGGGCTATAGTCTAATTGGACTTGTGAGTTCAGGAAAGACAACATCCATTTCTCTCTTTCTAATGCTCCCTACCACTTGCACAGAATTTTTAGTTACAGTTTTGGCCTCATTTCTTTCAAGCCTTCTGCCACATTAGAGCCGTACTTTCAAAAGAGGGAAGATAGGGAGGGAGACAGGCTCCTTTTGTTCTATATTCCGCTGCACAGTTTCTAAGTACCTAGTTCACAAGTATCAAAACGATGACCCAGATTCGCAGATAAAATAGTTCACTGGAACTGGCTTAGAGAGGTTGTTTCCCACGGGAAAGGGCTCGGAGAAGTTACTTTTTGTAGCCCAACTTCCAAACCATTGCAGGATATTCTATGCCACAAGCCATTTCGGGAATGTGTGTCATCACAAGTTTGTCTGTTTTTCTCCTTGGCTTTTTTGGGGGGGGAATAATTTAAGCTACCTGTATTTTTGTTCAGTTTTAGAGGCCTTAGGTCTGGAGCCCTGATCAGCCAAGACATTTGCTGAGTGACTTAAGCCCATTAGATCTGGACAGAGCTTAGAAAAGTTAACTTTTGGCCTATAACTCTCTGATCTTCCCATGGTGGATCAGGATATTATGGTAGTTGTCATTTTTTAAAGGAACTCTTCCAAGCTCTGGGGCTTGTTCTACTTTTTGGAATAGTTTTGGTCGCCTTCTATGTTACAGCCTATCAGAGATTTGACCAATGTGTACCCGTCAAGTTCCACACCAGCGATCCAGACTAAACATAGACACAGGTCCTTCAACCTTTCCTCATAAGGCTTGACTCCAGCAACCCTGACAATCTTGGTGGCCCTCCTCTGAAACATTCCAATCTGTCCATCTTCCCCCTCCTCCCCCAGTTCTTCTTACGATTCCTCTCCTACCAGAGACTGGATGTCACAGCTCTTAACAAAGGCATTTTCTCTTATCTGCATGCAAATCAGGTCTCCAAGATTCTTCAACCAGTACATTCTTATTTTACTTGTTTTTCATTTTCCTTTCATTTGCCTGAAATGATCAGCTGCAACAATCTGTAATTTTTCCTTCATGATATGTAACAAAGGACTTAGAGTGGTGCCTCGCATTACGATGTTAATTTGTTCCAGCGAAATTGCTGTAGCATGAAAACATCATAAAGCGACATTAAAAAGCCCATAGAAATGCATTAAAACCTCTTTAATGCGTTCCGATGGGCTTAAAACTCACCGGCCAGCGAAGATCCTCCATAGGGCGGCCATTTTCACTGCCTGTCTTGCGAGGAATCCATCCCTAAACACAGCAGGGAGCCATTATATTTACCCGGCGGCCATTTTGAAACCGCCAATCAGCTATTGGAAAAATCGTCATTTTGCGAAGAATCGGTTCCCGAAGCAGGGAACCAATCATCGCAAAGCGAAATTCCCCCATAGGAAACATCATTTTGCGACTGCAAAAGCGATTGCAAAAAGTTCATCATAATGCGATTTCATCGTTAAACGCAGCGATCGTAATGTGAGGTATCACTGTATAATCATCATCATCACAGAACTGCAGAGCTGGAAAGGACCCTATGGATCATCAAGTCCAGCCCCTGTCAAGAAGGCACAGTGGGGAATTGAACTCCCAACCATAACTAAACAACTAAGCTATCCAGAAGTTCTCGAGCAGCAATAATTTATAATGCTTGCAAAAGATTAAAAGATCAAGTGTCACAAAACAGCTAATACATTCCTGGATCACTTGGGATGGGGAAAACAGATTATTTCATCTTTGAAGATTTTAATTTCTTTTTCATCATCTATTTTGGAAATACACCATGTTTAATAAATGTTTTTAGAACATGAGGCCCAGGTTTAAGAAGCAAAGTGGCATGGATCTCAAGTCAGCTCTGTTAGAAGGTCACAGAAGTTTCACCTTAAAGGTCAAAACTCAGTACTGGCTTTGCATAGTCAGGAAAGATATGATTTTAATCAGATCTAAAACAGAAAGCAGAAGGCCCTGAATACCTATCTTAATTACTGTACTTAGAAGGTGTTCTGCCTCCTCACCTCCAAAAGACTGCCAAGTGTATTGTAGTGCCTAGTGGTTATAGCCTTCAATTAAAGCAGGACTCGGGAGATCTTAGTAAAAATCCTCGTTGTTCCAGGAAATTCAATGGGTGACCTTGTGTGTGTCAGTCACTCTTTCACCCTGACCCACCTCACAGATTTTATTATAAGGATAAAGTGGAGAAGAGTACAGTCACATAGGTAGCTTTGAGCTCATTGGAAGAAAGATAGGATTTAAGCTGTAAATTTTGCCCACTGATTAACATGGGGCAAGGAAAGTGGCTTTTACTGAGCTTCAGTGAAGCACAATGGCAGAGGGAGTGGGCTGCAACCCAGAAAACCCCTGACTAAAAAGCTAACTTTTACAACAGAGCCAGTCTACTTCCTTGACATAAGTATATACATAAGTGGTTGTAACTGACCAGATAGGTGGGATATAAATAAAATAAATAAATAATATTCTTTCATAGGGGAAAACACACACTCTCAGCCACTGCAACACAGAGAAAATACACTGGCTCATCTTCCAAGGCCACTGTAACGACTATTCCAGGCGTTTCTGACCTGATGCCATCCAGATGCATTGGACTTCAATGCTGATCACTGACAGCTACAGTTGGGATCTAGTTCTGGACATTAGAGAGAATACTCAGAGATACAGTGGGGTCTCTACTTAAGAACGTCTCTACTTAAGAACAATCCAACTTAAGAACAGCTCCATTTGCTAAATTTTGCTTCTACTTGAGAACAGAAATCCAAGATAAGAACAGGAAAAAAAACCCTTTCCTGCTCTTTTTTTAACCTTAGGTCATCTTAGGTTAAAAAAAAAAATTCTCCCCCTAGTGGTAGAGTACGTATTAACCAGCTTTGCATTAGTTCCTATGGGAACTAATGCTTCAATGTACGAACGCACCTCTACATAACAAAAAAAAACAGGCAGAACGGATTAATTGGTTTTCAGTCCATTCCTATGGGAAATTTTGCTTCAACTTAAGAATGTTTCAACTTAAGAACACCATTCCAAAACGGATTAAGTTCTTAAGTAGAGGTTCCACTGTAGTTTCTATGGACGGAAAAGAGCAGATACGGATTAAATGGTTTTCAATGCATTCCTATGGGAAATGCAGATTCAACATAAGAACTTTTCAACTTGAGAACCACCTTCCAATACGGATTAAGTTCTTAAGTAGAGACCCCACTGTATAAGCATCCAAGTGTCCAGCAAATGAGTTCCATTTTTCATACTTCCCAGTTCCAGAGTTTGTGAAGAAACCGAGGAACTGGGGAATATGAAATATGGCATTCAACTGTTGGTCACTTTGGTGCTTCTGCTGTGAGTACCTGGGAAAGTGGTTGAACAGCGTGTAAAAGGAGAATTCACACCTGCAACCTAGCTCCTCTTATTGAAAATGTCAAAGGACTGAGAGAGAAACTGACACTTCCATACTTCTCTTTTATCAGAGGACATACCGAAGCAACTCCAAACAAATCTAATATTTTAACTGTGACTCTTGACTTGAAGGGAGCCAGTCTACTTTCTTCCCAGATAGTTATGCAGATTTCAGTCATGGGAATGAAAACCTGGCAGGAAGATGCTTTGTCTTGATGGAACATGAAATGGACTAAGAAAGGGAATTAGGAAAACTGGTTAGTTAGCCTGGCCTATCTCTGAGGAGAAAGTGCTTTGATCATCTAGAAGGGGCTTAGTCTGACTCTAAGGAGAACTGTCCTTTTGCCATCCTACATAGCAGTGCTGGGAGAATGCGCTCTGTGTGTGTCACAGAACTACACTATTTCTCCACTAAGGTGTATTAGATAGATTAGATTAGCTTTTATTATGTTCTCATATGTTCCTCTTGAATGCCTTTACATCTGTCTCTAACATTTGGTCCTGCATTTTGAAAAACATTTTCTTGTAACCATTGCCCTTTTACATTTTCCTACATAGCAGTGCTGGGAGAATGCGCTCTGTGTGTGTCACAGAACTACACTATTTCTCCACTAAGGTGTATTAGATAGATTAGATTAGCTTTTATTATGTTCTCATATGTTCCTCTTGAATGCCTTTACATCTGTCTCTAACATTTGGTCCTGCATTTTGAAAAACATTTTCTTGTAACCATTGCCCTTTTACATATTTTCTTTCTCTTTAATTAACTACAAAGACCCTTTCAAGCAGCTGTCTGGATTATTGGCTGGGCAGGTTTGTCATTCTGAAACCAGTCCTTGACTCAACCAGCTAGTGGGATTTTTTTAAGTGTTTTTGTGAGAGTGGTGACATCTACCACGCAAAGGTGGCATACTAGCACTAAACGCCTAGCCTTAGGGATTCTTTTTTATGTTAAGACTCTGGGGACTAAGGTTTTGGGAGTGATACAATTCCAGTCGCCTTCCATAGCCTTCACCACATCTGATTCCCAGGATGAGCAAGAGTAGTGTGGCTCAGTGGCTATAGAAAACGGGATTTGATTGGAGAATTATAACACGACACATAGCGGCCTATTTCTTGTGTAATACTGAAAAAGCCAGTAAGGAAATTGTCATTTTATGTACTATAACTATAGCACCGAAAAGGCCATTATATGAATCAGCTAATTATCAGCTAGGTCTCCAGAGGCAACTGCCTGAGCAGAGAGCATATAATTAAAACCAAGACTTTTAAAGTTTGTAAATGGTCCTTCCAGAGTGTTCTTGGTGGGAAATAGGAGGAATAAAGGCATGGCTGTCCAAAGGGAGCATCCAGTGAGGCTGCAAGAGCAAGAGCTCTGAATATGATGCTGTTTCACAGGGAAATAGAACAAAAATGTACATTTGTATCCGTTCCCATAGTCTTGTGTCGTATTTGTTATTAATAGCCCACACTCTCAAATGATAGTTCAAGGTTTGGTAGAAAAGATTTACACCTGACTTTGGTGTCAAAGTTTATTTTTGGTAAGAAAACAATTAACTTCCCCTGTTTCAAGATATTTTGTTGTAAAGATCCCAGCTTTTGCTTTGGTTGAGTGTTACTCAAATGTGTATCTGGAGGATAAAATCAAAGTGGGTTGTTCCCACTAGTTCAAAGAGTTGGAGATATAGCAAAACCAGAATAAGACATAAAATTCTCCACCCGGCCTCTTGTCGACTGCATCCATTTTCATCTAAGAAGGTAACCTGGCCCCAAACATGGGCATGACACTTAATAAAAGCATGCAATTTTTGGAACTACCCACAAGAACTTGTTGCACAGCCTGAATTTCGATGAATGATCATCGAAAGCTAGCTGTCTGGGGTTTTTTTATTGTTCTAATAAAGGCATCACCTGTTCTAGCACAGCCTGAATTTCGATGAATGATCATCAAAAGCTAACTGTCTGTTTTTTTGTTCTAATAAAGGCATCACCTGTTCCTGCATTTGTATTGTTTTGGAGACCACGCAGCCTTTTTCTGATAAAATTCTCCATTCAGCACAAAGGATTCCTGAATCTTATTTGTTATTTGCTAGTAATTGGGTTGTTTCCTGCGAGTGATTTTAACAAGTAATGTGGAGGCCTTTTTTGAGTATAGGTAAAGGTTTCCCTTGACAATTAGTCCAGTGGTGTTCAACTCTAGGGCGCGGTGCTCATCCCCGTCTCCAAGCCGTAGAGCCAGCGTTTGTCCATAGACAGTTTCTGTGGTCACGTGGTCAGCGCGACTAGACACGCAACACCATGACCTTCCCACCTCGGTGGTACCTATTTATCTACTCTCATTTACATGCTTTTGAATGGCTAGGTTGGCAGGAGCTGGGACAAGCAACAGAAAGTCACTCCGTTGTGTGGATTCGATCTTATGACTGCTGGTCATCTGACCTTGCAGCACAGAGGCTTCTGTGATTTAACCCGCAGCGCCACCATGCCCCCGTTTTTTGAGTATACCTGATCACATATAAACTAGTGTTAAAATCTGGGAGTCATCCATTTGCCCTGTTTAAGAAATGAATAATGCTCACCAAGTTTTATCTCAAACAAGCTGAAGTTGGTCCATTTTATTTATTCATAAAGGAGGCATGGTGGAGGGGCATCCTCATATCCCAAGCTATGAGATGACAGAACTTTCCCAAGGTAAACCCATTAAGGTTCTGTTTACCATTCATAAAAGGAGAACAGTGGTGAGCCTCCTTTGACAGATAACTCTGAGAATGAGTAAAGAACATCACAGAACTCAAATGACACAAAATATTAATACAGAGTACTAATCAACATTTTCTACTGAGTGCAATAAGTGACTGGGGTCTGAGGAAGTGGCCTATGAAATGGGAACAAGCAGAAGCCTTTTGGGAAAACTGAAAGTGGAGAAACAGCTAAGGCCATTTGGCATTTCTGAGTTCTACTTAATATTCACATGGCCCAAAAAAGAAGCACATGAACTATTTAAGGCAACTGAAGACAAAGCTAATTAACGATCGCTGCGCGAAAGGACACTAACAAAAGAAGAAATAACACACATATAAAATAGAATCCAGAATTTTTAATTGGATGATGCCAAGGAATGTGGAAGGTGTCTGTTTTGAGGTCAGCCTTACACGTAAATCCCTCTCCCCCTTTATTTTTCTGTATTTAAAAGCCACTTCCAAAGCAGCAGGTAA